CACCCCATATTGAACTTTAAAAATCTTAAATGCATATCCCAGAGAGAGAGACAAGTACACCTTCTCTAACTTTCCTATGTAAAATGCAGTAGAGATTGTGGAAAACTTGATTCAAGCTCTGGAGATGTGTGAAAGGAAGCAATAAAGAAAAGCCAGTATACAAATGGTGACCATTCATGGCAGTTCCTGCCTCAGAACTAGCAGTGAGCGGTAAGAGAATAGAATAATCAAGTCACTATGTGACCTATACATAGTCCCTATGATTAACAGTAGTGTTCCTTAGTATTCCTACACAGTATCTCTAACCCAAGCTTGAAATTGGAGCTTTCGGAATTTTGCCCTAGCCTTTTTAAAAGAGTCACAAGTTCTAAAATAAAATCTTCATAAATGTAGATAATGTACAAAATTCAGTCAGTTTATTTGGCTTTGGGATAGAGAAGCATGGAGAAGAAGGTGGATGTTGCAATGTATTTCACAACTAGGACGATGGAGGCAGGAATGTCTGTTCCCTTCTCAGCTCTCTGGAAGCGGTGGCCCACAGGGATGGGCAGAGTTGGGCTACAGGACTTGCCTGTGGACAACACTGTTCTACCCCAGCTGCATTCACTGTGTTGGCAGCAGAACAGGGCCTGGCACCCAGGTCTCCTTAGCTCCTCACCTGTGTTCTGTAAATTATATCCTTGGGCTGTGGTTTTCTTTTGCTCTAACAGAGACATAGACAAAACCCTGGGAAATATTTTTTTATCTTATTGAAGAAAATAAATGTTTTTTCAAGCAATGACTGTTTTCATTTTAAACAACTAAATTAGAATTAGCCAGTGGTAGTGAAAGCAGTTCCACTCAGAAGTGCTTTTTGTCCCCTCAATCTGAGTTCGTAGCTAACATCTGTTGAATGAGCCAGGCGCCTCCCTTCCCGGACACATACACACTCAAAAATGTACCCCCAGACTAAAATTCTATCGAAGGTATCATTCTCATTGTTTTCATCATTGTAACTCTCTAATTGTCCTTATTTTAACCAAAGAAAAGACAAGTAAGCCTCCAGAATGTCATGGCTTCTATATGCTGGTTGAACCCTAGAAAGCTGGAATTTGAGCTCTTCTCAAGCATTATTGAAGTTGTTTGAATTAATACTCAATGATAACTTCTGTGCTGCCCATCATGTTATTAGAATAAAAACAATAGGTTTACTTTGACCATGGATTTTCTAAGTGGATAGGATTTAGAGAAAAAGTAAAAGAGGACATTAAAAGAAACACTTGGAAAATGAAACCTAAATGCTTCATTTATGTACTTATTTCTGCCACGTAAAAATAATTTTTAAAGGGGCTTTAAAGAAATGTAAAATGTTATTGACACAAAATGCCTTTGCAACATGCAAAGCAGTGCACCACAGCTTGAGAAACATTTGCACTTGGAAGTTGTTTTTCTCCCAGCCCTTGCACATGTTCTAAGATCACAGAGCTGGGGCATCTTCAGAGTCAAAGAGTTGATATTAATTCTCGCTTCTTTGCTTGACCCAGCCCTTTGGAAAGATAACTTGAAAATGCTTTAATTATGGTATATTAATTTTTTAAAGGCTAAGGTAGTTAACTTTTAAACTGAGTATTATAACTTATATATTAAAAATAAGATAACCTCAGTTTTCTGAAAGCCCTATTTGAATCTTTAAATATAAATGCAATTCCCTTTTTAACTATACTCATGCCTCCCATCAAAATCATTTAACACCAGAAATTATTTTCTAAAACAGAAGCACAACACATATTTCAACTCCCACGTAGTAACACTGCAAAATTTGGTAACATCTGCATATTTTCTTTACTAATTGCAGTGTTAGTCTGAAGTTAATTATATTAAACTGATTTTTTTCCCAAGCACAACTTTTATATATCACATTTAGTTTAATTGGTACTTTGAATAATAAATTGTTTTTCATCTAGAGCTTATTGTTTGATATTGCTAATGAGATGATTTTAATGTTCGGCTTAGCTATTAGGAGGAATCTTATTTTGTCTTATATTTTTAAATATAATCCTCCATTGTAGCACACTAATTAGCCTGATAACTACTTTCCTTTTTTTTTTTAAATCTTCAGTATAACATTATATAAAAACACTACACGTTGCAGGAGGTAGTGTTTTTATAATTCAGCTGCATGTGAATCCTTCAATTGCAGCATAGTTTTGTGCCAGTGTTGTTTAATAATATTTTTGCATTCACCATTCTTGAGCACCAAGCACACTTAGTGGTCCATTAATAAATAGCAGTTGCCACTATTAATAATAATGCCAATATGATCTTTAGATCATGTATAGGCCCTGCAATGTTGGATGGAGTGGCAAGGTAACAGGAAGACTACATCTCTAATAACATGAAACCAATATCATTTATATTCATTCAATTCAACAAATTTATTAAATCTTATCTATGTGTGCTCAGTACTGTTGCTATCATCTACGTGGGCAAAGGCAGAAAAAATAATTGGAAGACTCAATTCCTTCCTGAAGGAGGTCATAACTAGTTGGGGCATGACTAACTAAACTCCATGAACAATTTTCTCCCAATGATATATTGTGTGGCATTATTCTTTGCATTGTGTAGTATGGATAGTTAAAAACCATAAAAGATTAGAGGAAGGAAACTTCAGTGTAAGTTAGAGTCATTTCAGGTGGCCTTGTGATGGCGATGGGACCTGAACTGGACACTGAAAAGTTGGTTAAGATTTGGAAATGTGGGTGAGAGGAGATTTCTTGTGTGAGCAGTGGCATAAACAAAGACTCAGAAGCAAGAAGAATCTTTGAAGTGTTCAGAGGACAATGAGTCTTCCTGGGTCGGCTCAGAGTTCTTGTTGGGGAGCGTTGGGAGATCATGTTGGACATATAACACAAAGTCATAGAGAGCTAGGAATGCCAGGACCAAGCATTTATAAAATAATAGTGAGCCGCTAAAGATTTCTGAATGAAGATGCATGCAATACCTCACAAAAGGCTGACCTGAGTGTCAGAGACTAGACAAGAAGTCAGGGTCTAGGAAATATACAAGCACAAAAGAATAAGACCAAACAATGTGGTCAGCTAACATGAAGCCTGGACAAGTAGAAAGTCTTGAAAGTGAGGGCATGTTGTCCTGGCAGGAACCCCTTCTGGTCTTCCTTTTGGGGCAGGAATTATTTCCAAGGTCCTAAGTAAGTATGAGTGACTCTTCTAATCAAAACATGAATCAGTTAACCCAAATGGACTGGCAGAGATTTGGACAAATCCTGATATGATCAAAGTGGAGTTTCATAAAAATGAACCTGTCTATTATGAAGAGTGGATTAACACAGGGTGAAGCCAGGTTTGGATGGGGCAGTTGACAAATAATTGTGACAAATAAGGAGTGAACTGATAGAGGCTTAGGCAAGGATTGGAACTGTGAGGGTTGAGAATGGTATATATGGAAGATAATTCAAAGTAGAAATGTGTCAATAAAAGGTGGCTCTGCGATTTCCAACCTGGGCAGAGAGGCAATAGTAGTACCATGGACAGAAGTACAAGAGTTAGGAAGGAAAGTTACACCTGAAGACCTCCGCATACCCTGATTTGCTTTCCTGATCCAGCAGAGCTTGACGGGAAAGAACATTCACAGCACGTGGCCAGTGGCCAACATACTGAATAATTGGGACCTCCACTAAGTCTCATGGAGATCTTTGAGTGAGGTTTATTTTTTCCTTTGGCTTCTGACCACATCAGGGTTTTAGAGTAACTCTTGACATATAGGTTCACTTAAGGGATGTTCAATAATTGGGACACTACCTATTGTTTAAATACCAGTAGAAATCTGCTGACACTTTGGTGGGTAAAACACCTTGGCATGCGCGCATGGCAATCAGTGTTTCCATACCTAAGTAGGTTACCTCTAGGTAATGCATTTGACGAAATATTTTCTCCAAATTAGAGCTTCTTCTTATTAATTAGATATCATTTTCCAATGAAGTCATGTCACTAAAACAGATTAAAATGCATTGTAACAATTATTGATCAGAATGAGTTAAAATATCAATGTTCAGTTTGAAAAAAAATCAAATGAGATGTTTATTAATAAAAACCATTTATTTAACATTTATGGTGTTTTTATTTATTTATTTACTTATCCAACATTTACTATGTCAGAAACTATGTTACGTGCTTTATATCCATTATTTGATTTCATTAACAAATAATCCCATGAAGTATGTACTTTTATTATCTTCATTTTCCAGATAAGGAAACTGTGGCCAGAGAGGTTAAATTGCCTCAGATTATGCAAGGTTAGTTACGGATGGAGCTGGGATTCCCAGTCTGGTCTAGTGTGATTCTGAAGCCCTTATCCTTAACTGCTACACTGTGCTTGTCTCTTCTGGTTTGAGCCAGCAAGCAGGGTGATTGATTGTGAATTTTACTCAGCCTTCAGCACGCTGCCCACAAAAGATATGGTATCTGTCATGTGTGAAGAAGTAATGGTTCATTTATAAAGTATACCACTGAATGTTAGGAACCTGTTTTCTCACATTTCTGGCAATGGATATCTTTATGTATTGAACCAGAATTTAAATTTCTAGAAGCTGTATATAAACATATCACAAGCTTTTTGTTGCCTTGATGACTTTATAATAGACTCAGATGCTCTATGAACATCTTAAACTTAGGTTGGAGATGTGGAAAATTATTTTACAGTTGTTTTAGGGAAAAGCCAAGTATCAGCAAAAAAATCTGAGATCCCAAACACTGTTTAAAAAAAATAATAAAACAAAAAAACAAAGTATACCTTTGAGAAGTCTTCTATACACTGAATAAAATTTAAAAATAAATATATGGTTTATATATTCATGTATGAATGATATTTTGTATGTATGTGTCTATTTATAACTAAACTTATGTTTCTATGATAGATACAAAATGCATGCTAAAGAACTTAAATTTTGCTTTTTTCTTCACCTATAAACCTAATGGAAAATTGGTTTTTTTGTTCTCTCGCAGCTGAATTTTTATTCCTCTTGTGGGGTGTTTATCTCTGCTATGCAGTGCGGACAGTCCCATCAGCATTTCATGAGCCACGCTACATGGCTGTTGCGGTCCACAATGAGCTCATTATCTCTGCTATATTCCATACAATTAGGCAAGTATCTGTAGAGCTAGTAAATCACTGTTGTATTTTTCTGATGTGTTGCAGTTTAATTTAAACAGCAAAATTGGATACGACGCATAATGGAAAGATTTAGAAAGGATAGTGTTTTATAAGTTGACTAATTTCTTTGTCACAGAAATGGCAAAATGACTATAGTGTTTTTAAAAAACTCTGCTGTTCTTAGTTCTGTCTGATTTGTTGCTTATTGCCTTCATTTATTTTGAAGGTTAACTCAATGTTATTGTTTTATGTTAAACCACTTATGGGGATGTCACTGGATATTGTTTATGATATGTAATATGTTTTTCCTGAAGATATAAAGCAATACCTGCATATATTATATAGTAGATATAGATAAATTGTCTATGTTTTCTTTCATGTTTAATGTGCTGGTTTATCATTTCAAAATCTTAATACTCATCTAGACAACTTATATGTATGAATTCTGCTGAATTCAAACCCAAAAAACCACTCCAAGCTGATGACTTGATTTTTGTGTGCAATTTTTGTTTTGTCATCATCACATTTTACCAATGAAATATGTATGACTTCTCTTCTGAGAATTTTCAACTGATTCATATTTGAAAATGAAATGAAAACCTCAGTGAGAACAAAGAAAGGAATTCTATAATTTGAAAAGCAACGAAAAGATGACTTGCAATTGCTGGACAAATATTAAAAGTTAGGACACACTTAAGAATGTAATTAGAAATTTTGAATATTTGTCTTTGCCCTCAGTGGAAAGATAGAGATTAATAATAGTGGGAGTCGGGGTGGGAAAGTGTGGATCTGTGGAAGTTTTGCAGGATATTTATCATCGCTCACTTTAGTCAATAATCATAAAATGATATCTTGGACTTTTAAGAATAGATGATGTCAGAGAACAGTTGGGCCTTAGGCATAAGGCGTACTTTTAAACTTTTAAGTAAGAAAAAGAGGTATTTATGATCTGACAACCCTGGAAACTCCATCAAGGGGCCAGGAATCAAGAGAATTTGCCACCTTGCTTTGTCTTGTTCCACCTCAAGAGAGAGAGGAGAGAGAAAGAGAGTAGAACAGGGAGGAAAAATGAGAAGTGAAATATGAAATTATAAATAAGCAAAGAGAAGAATGGTTTCTCAACTATACTCAGACTAGAGGGAAGGATCTGAGAGGGGATGCCCTTGGTCCAAAATGTGCTCAGCACCAGAGAGCCCTTTGTCGTGGGGCCAGAGCTCCATAGCCTATACATCTCTCCCAAACCATCTCCCAAGAAAAACTGCTTATTTTGTTTGTTTCCAGAGTATTAAACACATGTGTTTCAAGATCTAACAAACACGCTTCTCTAGAAACAGTGATAAGTTAAATGTTATATCAACAAACCAACTAAAGAGTTATAAGCATCTAAGAAGGCTTATTATGGATGAGTTTAAATGTCTTCTGGTGTCAGAATGTGACTATGTCGGGTTTCCCACTTTGCCCTCCAGTTTGCTGCTCGATTTCTTCGAACCAAATTAGTTGTCCAAGAAATTAAATCTGTTCAAAGCAGTTGCCTAAGTTGATCTATATTCTTTTCTACCTTAAGATCTACTCTGTTCAGTTTTCATCGTTAAATGTTTTCTCAATGTATTTTAAACTCTCAACTGGCCCAAGTCCTTTCAGAAGTAGGTGAGGTAAACTACTTTTTCGTGAATTTTTTAAAAAATTGTTAATAATAAGGCAATAGATGGTCATTACAGAAAAATCATAAAATGATAAAGAAAAAAATAAACTCCCTAATTCAACCACCCAAAGATAAGCACTGTTAACATATTAGTATATCACTTTTAGATATTTTTATATCCATATGTATATTAATGATACATTGTATTTGATAGCTCCTTCTTAGGAATGTCACAGGGCAAACTAGCATACCTAGAAGTCCTGCTGTAAGGAAACCTATTTAACTTTGTTTAACCAGCATTTTCCAAACTTAGTTGACCATGGAATCCCCCCAACCCTCAACTGACATTTGATAACAGCAGCCACACCTCAGAAAATACTGTTTTAATAGTGGGCCAAGGAGATAGGAAACATATGTTAAATACTTGTTGAAAACAGCTTTCTTACTGTGGTTAAGTCTTTCCTGCAGAGTCCCAAACAACCTGTCAGCCCAGCCAGAAGAATCATAGAAACTATGAGCTGGGTTCATAGAGACACAAGCTCTTATTGAATTGTTCATGTTGAACTTAGTAGATTTGCTGTTGGGTAGACATACCATCCTCACAAGATCACTTTTCTTCCAGGCAACTGTGAAGTCCCCTATCAGTTTTGAACAGGGAGGACTTTCAACGGTAGCAGAGTGATCAGCCTTGGTAGGCTTTGGTATTTTTTTAAGCAAGCCTAAACAAAGCTGAATAGGAAGCCCTATATTTTAAGTTCCAAATTTGACTTACCTTTCTACATAGACCAGACTCAATGAGACTGTGGCATATTGACTGCAAAGAGTCATAGTGTGTATTAGCTACTCTCTCTTGGATATTTGATTTGTGTGGCCATAAAAGACCAAGGATGGAATTATAGTTTAATGCAGTAAGTCTACAGATTTACTGGGGATGAGTAGGGAGCAAGTAATAGGCAGTAATAGTTAAATCAAATATGCACGATTTCTTATTTACACGTGGACTGAATTCATATATGCTTGGTTCCAATATTGATAAAGTCCACGAATAAGAAGCAATGACATAATAATTTAAATCAGCTGGATCCATCTTGGTAACTTTTTCCTGGAATGAAATCATGTTAAGGTTTCCAATATCAGCAAAGATAGTCTCTATCAGTCAGGCATATGTACTCTTTCTTATCTGCTTAAAATATAAAATTATATATACATAAAAAATTATGACTACATGTTATATACAGAATTACTTTCATTCTTACCAAATTGTCAGATCGAACAAAAATAAATTCAAAAGAATAAGTCTAGAAGGGTAAATAATGCAGAAGGCTTTTGCCCAGTCTGTTCTAATCCTTTACTTATTTTAGTACTAAGCATTAAGGAAAGCTTTGGGAAAGTGCAAGACTTTTTTTAAAAAGTTTGCTTTTATTCTTAACTTCAATTTTCAGATATTTCTATGCCCCTGACTTTTAGACCTATTTTTTTAAGTTGAAATACTCTTTTAAAAAAATGAAGCTTTAAAACTGCTGCAAAACCCAGTTTTTCTTAAGATATTTCTAGGCAGAACTCCAACCTCAAAGACCTGGCAGTAATTAAAAACTGATTAATTTAAGGATAATTGATGTCAGTATACTTCACAATTATTTTTTGGAAGATTTACGTTTTTTTAATTTGAAATATGTGTAATGATTCTTCCTTCCAGATATTGTCAGGCTAGTTTAAAGTTCACTTGTATTGGTACTTGAGATAGGAATTCGCAGTACATGAGGAAGCTTTTAGACCATAAATCCATCTCCTTTGATGTAACTGTCTGCTTCAGTACTGGCAATGGCCCCAGCAGAGTGGGATTGTATTATCTTCCCAGGGCGTGTCTTATATTGCTTTTATGCCTCAATACTATGCCTCAGACACTGTAACTTGTTACTGAGTATGATGATCCTATTTCAATGCTTAAAAAAATCTCACCTGACCCAGCACAGCCTATGTCAAAAGTGTCTCATCCCTAAACAAAATGAATATTCAGTCATAGTCAAGGCAAATATAAGGCCACTTTTCTCACAAGGAGTTAGAGAAGATGATAATCCAGAAAATCCTTTTTGATTATATGTGAATGATCATGAGCATTCTGCATTTCTGTGTATGTTATGAGTCTTTTTTTTTTCATGTCTTCAGACACAGAGGAAACTATCTGTCTATTTTGGATAACTCTTGAGCTTCCGTTTTAGCTTGATGGTTTTATTTTGGGGCAGGGGTGCAGGGTGGAAGTGAAAATGAGGAAGAAATTCATTTGATGGCAATTTTGTTTTAAATATTAATAATATTAATTTACTTAGTAAATTTGTCATGAATATGATATAATGCAGATATAAAAATTAGTTCCTTCTGTTTTTAGATGCGTATATGTTTGTTTCATGATTTTATCATGAGCGTTTTCTTAGGATGTTAGCTTTTCAAACTTGAGGATGTATATCATTGAAACAAAATGCTAATTCTCTAGTTCCAAAAGCAATAAAATCTCATATTTAGTTTTCATGGATAAACAATGGATGGGAAAAAATTAAAAGAAGGATTTGATTGCAAAATGACCTTAATAAAAAGCAATAGCTGGTTTCTGCATAAGGACAAGTCCTTAAAACATGAGTTGTAGTTTGTATATGTACCTATTGATTTATGAAAATATTCCAAAATTACCAGAGTAGATATCAGCACTGAATTTTTCCTACACATGTTTCCTGCAGAGCTATCCTGGAACACAACTTTATAAATTCCTCAATAAGATAAGCTTTTAAATATTATATTTTAAATTATTTTAAAACAACTTGATGCTTTATAACAACTAAAATTTTTATTTTAAAAGATACATTTTACAAACCATTAGTATATTCATTTTACCCATTACATTGTTTATCATTTAAACCTCTGAGATCATTCACGAAGACAGATAATTACCCACTGTTTTTTTTCTTAATTCTGATTAATATTTTTAAATGAGGAACCTTACAATCAAGAGTTATTTGGATGTGTCTTATAACCCAAATTTGCCCAAAACCACCAGTTTGTGACCTACTCTTCTTTTGAATTTGCGTGTTCACTGCTTTTGCTTGGCAGATTCAACTTACCTACAAAAGAATAATCTGAAGAAATACACATTGTATATGTATATACTGCCTTTCTTATTGTTGATGATTTAAAATAATAGATAATAAAGAGTTTGTATCTTATGCATTCAATTAGGGTTATTTAGACCCCTATTCTTCTGTGATGAAAATATATGTCATAGAAACAGCAATACAATTTCTTTCTTTCTCTTTCTTTTTTTAATGCATTGAGGAAAGAGTTTCCAGGTATCCTAGTGTTTTAAGTGGAGATCTTGTCAGATTGCTAACTTGGAGAATTCTCATTTCAGATTTGTTCTTGCCTCAAGACTTCAGTCGGACTGGATGTTGATGCTGTATTTTGCACATACTCATTTGACTGTGACAGTCACCATTGGGTTGCTTTTGATTCCAAAGGTATTCCTCCAATACTGCATTTCCTCTTGCAAGACAATCAGTTTAAATGAGTGTGGAGTTGTTTCTCCTTTTAAAAGTATCTGGCAGTACATGCAAAGGGAGGCGTGGAGGTTTGCTTGACACTCTAGAATGTTTTTAAAGCTCCTTCCTCAGGAAACTAGGTGTGTCTTTTCTTTGGGGATTTATTAAACATCTCACATAATTTTTAAATGCTTTAATTTGTACAAAACCCATCATCTGTTTCATTCCTTTTCCTAATATTTTGATATCTAGCTATATTTTAATTATTATGGGTTTGAGGTGGCTTTCATTTTAGCTATAACATCAAGATCATTTTTAAAGAGATATTATCCTGTTCTAAGAATCTTATTGTTTAGATTCATAGTCAAGAAAGTATTATGTTCTAAACATTCAGAGAATTTTTATATAAATAGAAATAATTATAATATTGAGTATAGAAGACTCTTGCTTAATAATGATAGATTCTGACAAAGACTTATCTAGGTAGCATAATGAAATGGGGGTAAATGGGCCAGGACTCGGAATCCCGGGAATCTGAACATGTGCTCCACCCCAGACCAGCTGTGTAATAAAACATTAGCCAACACTTCTCATCTCTCTGAGTTTCAATTTCCTCATCAATGACACGATAGCAATAAGGCTGTTGGAATGAAATAACATGATATTTTTGCATATTGTACAAATTATAGCATTACCATTGTTTTCCTTTTTGACACGTAAAAAAACAACATATTAGAACCTTATATATCTTTTTTGTGTGTGTGTGTGAGGAAGATCAGCCCTGAGCTAACATCTGATGCCAATCCTCCTCTTTTTTCTGAGGAAGACTGGCCCTGAGCTAACATCCGTGCCCATCTTCCTCTACTTTATATGGGACGCCGCCACAGCATGGCTCGACAAGCGGTGCGTTGGTGCGCGCCCGGGATCCGAATCGGCAAACCCCGGTCTGCCACAGTGGAGCCCGCGCAGCGAACTGCTTGCGCCACCGGGCCAGCCCCAAACCTTATATATCTTTATCCGTGCCACACAATATAACATTAGCACAGCTAAAGCAAGAATTGTGATTTCCTATCTTTTACTCCAGGCTTTACCTCAACTCTCACAGTTAACCAAAACATTGAAATTCAGCCTAATTGAAAAGGCCAGACAATTGTAAACAGAGTAAAATGCCTGTTTTCTTCCTTAGTTGAATTATACCAAATAGCCACAGTTTTTATGGATTAATCTGTTACTGCAATTTATCTTAACCATTTTATACTTTGCGTAGCATGATAACACTTGTATTAGATGGACGTTACTCAGACTGTTTATTTACTCATTCAATAAATTGTTATTGAGCTTCAAAGAGAATTGAAAACATATGTCCATACAAAAATTTGTATGTGAATGTTCACAGCAGCACTGCTCATAATAGCCAAAAAGTGGAAACAATCTACATGTCCATCAACTGGTAAACATATAAACAAAATGTGGTATATCCACACAATGGGATATTATTTATCAATAAAAAGGAATGAAGCACTGATATATGCTACAACTTATACAAACCTTGAAAACATTATGCCAAATGAAAGAAGCCAGACAAAAAAGGCCACATATGTTATGATTCCATTTATGGGAAATGTCCAGAATACGCGACTCTGTTGAGACAGAAAGTAGGTTAGTGGCTGCCATGAGCTGGGAAGAAGGGGAAATGGAAGTGACTGCTTACTGAGTTCAAGGTTTCCTTTTGGGGTAATGAAAACATTCTGGAATTAGATAGTGGTGGTGGTTGTACAACCTTTTGAATATACTAAAATCACTGAATTGTGCAATGTAAAATTGAGAGTTTTATATTATGTGAATTATATCTTAATAATGGATAATTTTTAAAAATTATTGAGGGTCTTTGCTAAGCATTGTTTTATATCCTGGAATAAGAGTCATAAACAGATAAAAATCTGTGCTCTCATGGTACTTATATTCTGGAGAAGAGGAGGGGGAAACAGAAAAGATAAAGATAAAGATTTAAAATAGTATTTAAGATAGAGATAAGTGCTAAGGAAAAATAATAAAGCAGGAAATGGACAATATCTGACAAGTAACTGTTTCATAAACTCAAGATCGTCCCTAAGACTTTGTTCAAGAAAAATAATTCCATTCTTATACATAACCTCCAGGTGGTCTAATGGTAGCATGTGACTTGTGGAGGATACGGACTTTATTTTATTCGTCTTTCTGGGCTTAAGTTCATGGCACGTGTGTGAACCACAAACTTAAGTAGAAGAGTGAAAGAAAGATTTGTCAGTTTCTGTGGTTTCTCAGCCAGTCCCAATTACAAAACATTCATTATTGCTTAAATAGAGAATTGCTATTTCACATGTCATCTCATATTTATGTTCACCTGTCTACCTGAATATTTTAAGAAACGTTGACATAAAAATATTTCTGTATCATTAAAGGGTGATCTGTTAATTTCTTTAAAGGACTATTTGACCTCATGACAAGCTGGGAGAAGAGAACCTGTGTTCTCTCAATTTTCATAGGACAATCACTTGCTTTATGTATTGTGTAAAGTGTGGCTGGATTTTTTTGATTCTCCCTGCTTTCCATCATTTACCCAATTCGCTCTTCCTCACTTCTCCATTTGAGGAAGAATCAGGATGGCAAAAGTACCTGAAACTGAAAAATATCAAAAGATCACAGAAAGTAAGAAAAATATGTCAAAATATGATGAAAGCAGAACTTGAGAATAATGAGCTTAAGAAAAAATTCTGTAATTTCTGTGAATTTTTGAATTTTAAACTTAGATACCATCTAGCCCAGAGCTCTTTAGGCGGAGAGGTCACTGTGCTCCAGAGAGGTTCCGTGACTTGTTTAAGATCTCCTTGTCAACACAGTTGAGGTTGGAATTCAGATTCCTGTCCCCTGAGTCTTGAAAGTAGCTTCTTTGAAGCTATGTGTAGTAGACTGAAAGTCACATTCCTGTGATCAGGACCAATTGTGCCCATAGATGAAATATAGCCTTCCTTCCCTATGTGAAGCCAAATGACAAACACAAGGTAGACCCCACCGCACAAAAAAATATTCCCATCCAGCTGCCAGTGGGTCTAAATTGCTGCTCTTTGAAAACGCTTCTTCGGATTCTTCTACTTATTTTTATTTTCAAGATGCAAATATCATGGAAGAGGAGTAATGTGAGTTAACACTGGTAGACTTTGGAAAAGACAAGGATGAAAATAGGAGTCAAAGAGGGAACCAGGTGCTAATATTGCCTCACTAAGAGCTCTAGCATGTAACATGGAAAGCAAAACACAAATATAGCAGTACATCTTTTATAAAGAGATCAGTGAATGAATTCATCTAAGCTGAAGAAATGATATTAACATTAGAACCTTTAGAAAATTATGTTATGTCTTACAGGGGGTTAATGTCTACAGCTCATATTGAATATCTATTACAGTTTTCACATTCAAGCAATAACCCACGAGATGACATTGCTACAGAAGCATATGAAGATGAGCTAGACATGGGCCGATCTGGATCCTACCTGAACAGCAGTATCAATTCAGCCTGGAGTGAGCACAGCTTGGATCCAGAGGACATTCGGGTAATACCAGTATTTCTTCTTTCCTATTTCAGATGAGGCCCATTTATGTAGGCAAGCGTGTGTAAGTTGGTGTATATGTGTGCTCATGCATGCGCATATGTGTGTTAGAGAGAGAATGAGTATTTGTGTAAGAATTGAAGACATCAAATGCAGAGTTAATCCAGTTCTAAAATGTATAATCATGGTATAAATTAGAATGCACAGGCCCATCTTAATAGTCTCGATTGACTTATTGGCAGTCCTAATGACGAACTGGTTATACATGTTCCATAATGTGGTTTATGATATTTTGCTGATGGAAAGGTAGGATAGGTCTGTGAGCAGAGAGTGTGAATTATTTAAAATAATCTGTGACAATATATCAGAAGTTGGAGGAAGAAGATGCTTTTAGTATTTGATGGTCTATTGTCCTCTAAACCTAATCTAACATTGGGTGTAACTTTATCAATGGCTACATGATACTTCCAATATTATTCCAGGAATATGGTTTATCCGTAGATGATATGCTATGTTTTGTTAGGGTCCAGGCTCAGTCTGGTCCACACAACTCGCAATTTCAAAGTGCTTGCTTCATAAAGCAAGGGTAGAATGCATGTGTTCATATCTTAAAGTTCAAACTCTATGTGAAACAAAATGCAAAGTAATCAGAAAGTAAGAATAAGGAGAAAGTTGATGAGTAGAGATGTTAGGAAGGGACGTAGAACAGTTTCCCTAACGACCTCAAGCTTATTGAATTCAGATTACCTTAAGTAATGTTATCTGGCTGAAACACTAAGTTCTATATCTCTTTGAATTTGCTCTTGTTCTGGCAGGATGAGCTGAAGAAACTCTATGCCCAGCTGGAAATATATAAAAGGAAGAAGATGATCACAAATAACCCCCATCTCCAGAAAAAGCGGTGCTCCAAGAAGGGCTTAGGCCGTTCAATCATGAGGCGTATAACCGAGATCCCAGAGACAGTCAGCAGGCAGTGTTCCAAAGAGGACAAGGAGGTCACAGACCACGGCACGGCCAAAGGCACTGCCCTCATCAAGAAGAACCCGCAGGAGTCTTCGGGTAACACTGGGAAACCCAAGGAGGAATCCCTGAAAAACCGAGTCTTCTCACTAAAGAAATCCCACAGCACTTATGATCATGTGAGAGAGCAAACAGAAGAATCTAATAGCTTACCAACAGAAAGCCAAGAAGAGGAGGCTACAGAGAATTCCACACTGGAGTCTCTGTCAGGTAAAAAACTAACACAGAAACTGAAAGAAAACAGCGAGGCCGAGTCCATGGAGTCTGTGCCTTTGGTGTGTAAGTCAGCAAGTGCTCACAATCTCAGCTCGGAGAAGAAGCCTGGGCACCCACGAACATCCATGTTACAAAAATCTCTCAGTGTCATAGCAAGTGCCAAGGAGAAGACTCTTGGATTAGCTGGGAAAACCCAAACATCAGGCATGGAAGAACGTGCCAAATCCCAGAAACCTCTGCCAAAAGAGAAAGAGACAAACAGAAAATACTCGAATTCAGATAATGCAGAGACTAAAGATTCCACCCCCCAAAATTCCAATCATTTGGAGGAGCCAAGAAAACCTCAGAAATCTGGGATTATGAAGCAACAAAGGGTCAACCCCCTTACTGCCAATTCTGACATGAGCCCAGGCGCCACCCAGGGGAAGGACAACTTTGACATAGGGGAAGTGTGCCCTTGGGAGATTTATGACCTGACCCCTGGTCCTGTGCCTTCAGAATCAAAAATTCAAAAACATGTATCTATTGCAGCTTCTGAAATGGAGAAAAACCCAACTTTTTCCTTAAAGGAGAAATCTCATCCCAAGCCTAAGGCAGCTGAACTGTGTCAGCAATCCAATCAGAAGAGCATAGACAAGGCTGAGGTATGCCCTTGGGAGAGCCAAGGTCAGTCCCTTTTTGAAGATGAGAAGCATTTAATTTCCAAGACTCAGGTTCCCCCAGGGAGAGCTAAAGATGGGAATGGTGGTCAGCATTATGCAGCCAATGTGCGTGCTGGGCAATTTGAAGAACTGCCCCCCAAAGTTGTAGCATCAAAAGTAGAGAATGAAAATCTCAACCATATAGGAGACCAGGAAAAAAAGACATCTTCCTCTGAGGAAAATGTGCTTGGCTCCTATAACTCAAGTAATAACTTTCAGCAACCTTTAACGTCGCGAGCTGAGGTGTGTCCTTGGGAATTTGAGACCCCAGATCAACCAAATGCTGAAAGAAGTGTAGCTTTCCCTGCCTCTTCTGCTTTAAGTGCAAATAAGATAGTGGGGCCTCGGAAATGAGAGGTCTGGGATACTTTTAAAGTGTAGCATCCCCAGAAAGAAAAGAAGGAATAAACCCCAAATTTTATATAAGACAGAAGATAGAAGGATCAAAAATTCCCAAGGAGTATTTATCAATCAAGGGAAATGTGAAAGGAATGAGCAGAAGACGACTTAGGAAGCAGAGCAACATCAATGGAGTAGAGTAGACTGGCCAAAAAGTCTCTCCCCTGGTAACATTAGCAAAATCTGTACATTTCAGCATGTTTTAGGGGAAGTAGCCCTCAATGTCTGCCCCTGACCAATATTTACCCATGGGACTTTGAAGATCCTAAGCAAGGCAAACCAGAAGACACAGAAGAGGTATGAGATTTTGCAAAGAAGAAGGTATAGACATATGTGACCCCAATTCTAAGTAGCTGACCGAGAAGAACTTACTCTACCTATTTAACCGTGATAGCACTGCTAACTTAACGCATCCCCAAAATACCTTTTATATTAATGATTGCTCTAATTTTCTTATACATGTATGTTTCAGTACATTGTTGTGTCTCATATTCAAGCATTCCAGATTGTATAATTTTTGCAAATAACTTTGATATTATGTGACACAACACACGTTTATGCAATCTGCAGCTACTCAATTGTTATTGCAACTTACAGAATACCTGCTATCTATCACCTTTAGTTGATTCCCAAAGTATAGTAAAGCTTTCTCTGGTTTGGGAAGCCATAAGTGTTATGATAAAATCTTTTCGTTTTGGCTGTGGTTTATATATTGTGAATTTGGATTTGACTCTATTATTTCACATCATGGTTTGTTATACTGTCTTAATCAGGGTTTTTTATACCAGTTGAGTTTCTTGTTTTGCACTTCTTGTTAGGACTCAGAGCTTTATTAATAATGGAGATCAAGAGGTCCTTCTTAGTCATATGTCTCAATAAGTTAAGGACAACTTATCTATTGTTTGAAGTCAGAGATAGATAACCCCTTCATTCCAATTAATTGTCCCTTTTAACTCTTTCAGTATTTCATACTTAGCAGCATTTCGTAAGGAAGAAGCTACGAGTAAGAAAAAATGTACTGTGCATTATTGTTACCGTTGGAAAAGGAAGACTCTAGGAATGACACGAGAATTATAGCAGTACTGCAGACCCAGGGAATTTGCCTTTCAAAACTAAGACAGAAAGGGAGCTCCTAAGAGCACTTTCAAGGGATTATTTTTTTAAAGAGAAAAATTACAATAGCATCAAGATCATTGTATGGATATATTTTTATTATGCATACTGAATATATAATATTTTAAATTACCTTAAACTATTTATTCTCATAAACTCTTGTTCATCGCTTCAGCTAGGGGTAGAACTTGCTGGGCTCAAATCCCAAAGAGATTTATAACCTGATTTATTCAAAGCCTTTAAGGTGATGTGGGCTCTTCATTCTCCCAAGCATTGGAAAGTTTACAAGTCTTGCAGATTGCCGTTGTGAGCCACCTAGCTCAAAATTAAAAATGTAAGGTTTATTTGCAAGGCAAAACAGCCCCCAAAGCATGTTTTATAAAACTTACTGCATTCCACACTGATCTCTTGGCATGGAAATCCTAAGCTGCTGACTTAGCCCTAGTGATGTGATCATGCAAAGAGATTCCATTCCAAAGCTTAGTCTCATTTTATTTAAAGATGAATCACTTAAAAATAGAACCCAGACTTCCCTTTCTCTCACACTAAACACTGAAGTATCAATGGCTTATTTGGCCAGGACATTTCCAGCCTAAGTAACTGTTTTTCATTTTATGAGCAGCAAGGAGAACATGCTAAGAGGATAAAACATGAGAAAAGGGAATCAGAAGGTGGATACAGGGCTGTTCTTAGAGAATATTATTCTCAGTGAAAGGTAAAAACTAGGACTTTTCCTTCTCATCAAAATTTTCTCAACAATTTTTATTCAGGAGTGAGCACTTCACCATTTTGCAAAGCTGTGCATAAATCTTCCTCACCCATTGCTTGCTTTGTGCATTACTCAGGTTGGTGGGGTAGGTTTGAAGAGATATAGAAATTCTATTTTTTTGTGTTTCCTTCATTTATTGCCTTCTTCCCTTGCTTTCCAATCTAGGCCTATCTACTTTGTCACCTTGGAATACAACTCTAAGGTACATTTGTGAATTTGGTTTGGAGGTTCCAGATCAACCTACTTGTTTCGTTTATGCCCGAGATCTATTAGCACTTTATTCACTTTTTGAGAAATAAGCAGTCGAGCATCAATGACTTTTTATTGCACTTCAGGATGATCCTGCTAGAGATGTGGCTTAAAGAAGACTTGCCAAATTACACCTTAGCGACATTCTACAGTCCATAGATTTTTCTCCACCAGCATAAATCAATGAGAGTGCCTAGGGTCTTTCCTAGAGTTTCAATGCCATTAATTATCACCAAGAGGAGTTTAAATCTCCAATTCTTGAGGTTCTTTTCCCAGATTGACAACAAGATGAAAGTGCATACACACTATTAAAGTCACAAACATGTGCTAGGTTGTCCTTCTCAATGCATGTGCAGACTGCGTCCTGTCCTTGTTTTTAAGCCAGGGTTTATAAATAAGTAGATTTATACCAATCTTAATAGAACTGTATATTTTATGCAAGAATTCAATGCTTTACAACATGAATTATAACTCAACCCATTGTAAACTTTGGTGGCGATATGGATTTGAAACTCGACAGTTCTCTTATATTTGCTTCCTAGGTTTCTGCATGCAAGTGGTGACAGGTAGGAGTGAAAAACACTGCCTTTTGACTTCTAGCATTTAGCAACCGAGAGTTGTAGAGTCACTAAAGCTGTAAGTCTCTTCACTTAATCTGTGGTTCTTCTGAAACTATTATCTGAAACCTACAGCATCCCACCATGAAATATTTGGTAAATTTATGTTGTGACGTGTTGCAGCATGTAAATAATTATAACTTCTCTGCAATAAAACATATTTATATGAACGTGATTTGTGTGTTCATCTCTTGAAATTGAATTTATTTCACCTAACTGATTTTGGAAGGAATCTCATATATTTTCGGCTTTGGTGCACTTATGCACATACATCCTCATGTTGCCTGTCATCTATAGACATATGTGACTGGCCAAATGTGGCCTCAAACATACAGCTGTCATTTGGAGCCAATAAAACCTGTTAGGACTGTTGGTTTTGATTTAAGAAAGCTCTAGCCAAATGGGAACTAATTCGGCTGCCTCTCTTAATTTACTCAGCACACATACCAGGCAAACTGCCAAGCAACAATGATCTTTAGATGAACAAGAGCTCCAATAACACTCAGGCCCATAGGCATATCCAGTCATCGCCGTGGTATACACAGGAGAGTGTGGCTAAGTCAGAGTCAGAGAGGCTTAACAGAAAGGGCAGGTTCACCAGGCTGACATTCTTCAAAGGTATCAGGTATGAGAGGGAAAGGCAGTAAGGCTAGAAAGGTCATTGTGCACAGCCTTGCACGCCATGCTTCAGACTAACTACAGCTTTATGCTGGAGTACTGGGAGCCATCAAAACACTTTAAACAGGGGCATAATCAAGGCGTGTATTAGAAGGATGCTTTGGGGAGCAGACCAGAAATGGGGCCAAGTGGGCGGAGACTAGAGGCAGCTAGGTCAGTTAGAAAACTAGTCCAAGAGTCAAGGAAAGGGAAGGTGAAGACCTAAGAAGAGGAAAAGATGATACGTTATTTCATCAAAACAGCATCTCCAAATGGGTTTATTGTTATGTTATACTCATAGAAAGTCAGGAAAATCAGAGTAATTAGATAACTCTGTCAAATATAAATGTTCCTTCTAAGTTTATTGACATTTTAGCTAATTTCAAACATTTTAAAAGCCCTCTTTGAAGATGTGTAGACCTCATATCAGCTGCTCATGAGAAAAGCTGTGGAATAGGGTACCAGTTTCATGCCAGGGGAAACCTTGATACCAAACTGGGCTGGGAAAGGAGCTAAGGGCTTGCAGCAGGATGGACTTCAATTCCTGTCTGGAAGTGGCAGCTCTCTGAAGCAGCTCCATTGAGAAGCAAGTGTGACAAGAGGGCAGAGGACGGAGCTGGACCCTCCCTATCCCTGCATTCATCTTTCCTTTAAATGGTCCATAGCCATCGCCCTTTCCTGTCTTTCACACCTTTGTGTGTTCCGTATTCTATATGCTCATGGTACTTACACGTAGAATCAGTAGTTTCAGCTCTTGGAATGATCCTAAAAGGCAAAGACAAAAGTGTTTGGGGATTAACAAATCGTGAATGTCAAGTCTACTGTGCTTTCTTATGCGATAAGGAAGATAGAGTCTTTTCAGTGTTTGTTGGAATTGCTTAATTGACGGCTGTATTATTTTTTCATATATATATGCATCACAATAGTCATTGTTTCTTTGTTCTAAATTTAGCACCTTTCTGTTAAAAAATACCTCAGGGAAATATTTCTATCAGAAATTGTCTTTATCACACAAAAAGTAATAGTGTAAATCTATTGTTCTGAAACAATGCAAGTTAGTTAAGATTTTCTTTATTATTTCAGCATATTCCATCCTTTTCCCCTGAGTAGTTATAAAGACAGCAATAATGTCTTTCTAATTTTGATCATTTTCTCTTTAAACATTTATTTCTTAGAAACTACAAAGGCAAACTGCAAGCACTTGTATGTTCTAATTCAGTGTTAACTGGTTAGAAGGCAGATAATGAAATGTATGGATTGTTTTTTAATTTCCCTCTCTGTGATGTGAAAATAGTTCCTTGTCAGAAATAAAAGTCTGATCAAATGAAAATGGAATATGAGGGATAAATATAGGAAAAGGTCTGCTGTGCTGCACAATAGGCACATTCCTCAAAAGAAAAATAAGTTAAATATGCAAATAGAAGGTTCACGACAGTTCTTATAGAACATACTCCCATTTCAGTTCAAACAGCAATAGAAAAGCGGGGGCGGGGGAAATGCCCTCTTTTGAACATACAGGAGAAAGATTTTATGCACAGTTTGCCCCAGACATACCTGGGATTTATTCCTCCGTGCCTTTAGTCCTGCTGTTTGGTCCAGCTGAAATTCTTTCCCTCCTTCTTCTCTCAGTCACTGTCTTATGTACGTTTCCATACTAGTGCGATCATATAATTTATTGTCCAAAGAAAACCTTTGAGAGTGAAAGTGCGCTATTATAATTATTCCAGGATAACAGCCGAAACTAGGACTGTCCCGGCAACCCAGATGTTTGTTTGTTTGTTTACCCTGTTCAAGGAGCAGCACAAATGCCCCACTCCCTTCGCGAAGCCTTTCCTAACTCGACAGGTCACCCCTCCTTCCTCTGTGCTGCCTTGGGAACC